ACATACCTTTCTTCAGTGCATTCCTGTTTCTCAGTTCCATCAATTTCTATTTCTATCAGCTCCTCTGCCTCTCTCTTAGTCATGGCTACAATGTCTTAAGAGCAGAGCTATGAACAGAACAGAATTTTTTTGATAAGTCACAAACCAAAAAAGCTCGATGATGGGTTATAACCCATTTGTTCTACCAATTATTTTAAAAATCAAACACCTGGACTGTTTTTAAAAGACAAGAATCCACCTAAAAACAAAGCCAAAAGCTAATACGGATTGCAGTTATCACAAGACAGATCACAATATACCCATTCCTCAAACAAACGCTCTAGGTACAAATCCAAGACTGTAAAGGGACATTAGCAGAGCCCAGAGCCTGATTTTCTTGGAGGCATCCAAATTTACTGGATGTTTTTTTATTATGGGCCAGCTACAGCTTTTAGTGGCTAGTTGCAAAGAACTTAGGAAAATTCTTTTTAAGTCAGGAGCATTTTGCCATCTAGATTCAGCTCATGCTACCTTCCTAGCAAGGCTGAAAGCTGCTGCTTATAAACTTAAGCAATTAAAGGAAAAGCTATTCTGTGACAATATTCTCATTGACACTACAGGTTTTCAAGCCCTATAGAATACTGGAGTCTGTTGGAACATAAGGGAGAAAAAAAGAACTACAGCATTTGGTCTGTAAAGATATAGTTTGCATAATACTATCATGTTTCACCAAACTTGCCATACACCCTAAGTATGAAATACATGCGATAGAGAACAGGGCCAAATGATATTAAAATTTTACAATAAAACCCACTACCAACTCATAGGAAATGGAGCAGAAAGTAGAAGCACAGAGGAAAAAAAACACAGTAGAAAAAGCAAAACATGCTAGTATTTAAATATCCACAATAGAAGGGATTAGTAAGGTTTCTATCCTGGGATCATTCTTTCCCAAGGACTACTCTATCCCAAACCCAACTGTTTCAGAATTTATTAAAGGCAAGTTAAGGGAACTTATTAAACTTCAAAACATCTCAAAAGAAATAGTAACCAAGTAAGTTGTACAGCTGTTACAGAAAAGGCTTAGAGAAATTCAAACTACTCATCTTATTATCTCCTTCAAAAACTATGATATAAAACCAGTTTTGAAGAAGTCAAGTGCTACATGTGATACCAATCTTTAAGAAGGTACCAGGGCTAGACAGGAAGTAAACAGCACCTCAGTAATATCGCACCACTAGAACCAAACCAGAATCTGTTCTGCTTTCAGATCTGGCTCCATAAAAATCCCCTCACTGCCAGGGTATGGTCCTTACTCTTGTATATCATCCTCCTGATAAATGAGGAAAAATGAAACAATTTCTGAAGAGTGCAGACATGCTTAATTAAGTATCTGAAAGAACTTATACCTGCATAGTTACAGGTTATCTGGTTGACTGTTGAAAGATTTTTTTAAATTAAGTTTTGAAAAGAGTCCCTTACTGAAAACTCCCAAAGAAACTGAAACCATAAAAAAGGGGGGAAATAGTTTCCTGTAATAGCAACAAGACTAAGAGCCTAAAACAACAGGAGTAAGTTTTTTAGTTTTTTGGGGTTTTTTTTGTGAGGGAGTTTACCAGTAAGGTCACAAAAGGGGTTGAGCTAAGATTTCTCTTCCGTAACATATTCAGAAGTTACTGAGAAAACTGTGCAGACCTGCAGAAAGAACTCACAAGCTTGAATGATTTCTGGCAGAAAATACCCAATATTGGTAAATGCAAAGCAATGCATGGTGAGTAAACTATTTCAACAGCACGCTAACGGTACAGAATTAGGTAAGACATGCTGAAGTCCTTATGATTGGACTCCAAATTGGCAGCTGGACTAGTAACTGTTCACTCACTCTTCAAAGGTGGTTTGTGGTGGCATCTTGCAGGCTCTACTGCATTTGTGGTTAGGCTGGGGAGGTAGGAGAGGGGAGCAAAGGCACAGAAGGCAATTATGGAAAGAGGAAGAAATATGGTTCCACTGAGCACAGACGCAAGAAAGGGAGATGATGTGTGGAAAGAATGACATGAGAACATGTAAAGTCATTAGCAGTTCAGAGAAATCTAATAGGGAAAATTATTCACTCTTCCCTTTGTGAGAACAGACTCCTGGTGATATAAACATTTCACATTAAGGCTAGCAAAATTTGTTGCTACAAGATGATGCCAAGACTGACAGCATACATCGGTTCAGACAGATGGGACTGAGCTTCCTGAGCCTTCCCTGAAGACTGCTGAGAAACAAGAGAACATACACCGGCCTGTTTTGCTAGGAAGGTCAGTATGGTAGGAATCCCACAACAGCAGCATCTGTTTGAAGGAACATAAAATCCTGTCCTTGATTTGTGGAAGTTAGAGCTTACTGATTTCTGTTTGATTTTTCTTTCAGCCAAAAAAGCCCTACGACTTACCTGTTATCCAAGAAGGAATCTGACCATGATACCCAACACAAACCTCCACTAATGGAAGAGAAGGCACCTCTTAACAGAGCCTGTTTTTCCCTGCATAACAGCCCAGTGCTACACTAGTATCTTTTACAGTTCAGCACTTGCAGTCAGGGGAGAAACCCGTTTTCTCTGTTGAAATCTAGCTTTTCTTTCTCCCGAAACACAAGGAATTAAGCAAGTAACAAGCCCATCACGACAGGGGCACAAATTCTACATTAGTAGTACTAGAATCAGCATTTGTTATCCTACCAGGGAATTGTGAAGTGGGGGCAACTACTGGACCCATGCACATTATCAAGTGATACTGAAAGCCTGGTCACTGGAGATATCTGTGCTCCCAAGATGCAGAGTTGTTTGTGGAACACTTGGCACTACCCATCACTCTACGCATTCAAATGGGTAAAATACCAATGCAAACCAGACAACCTACCCTTTACAGACCAGCTTTTCCAAGTTATCAGCCAGCTGGGATTTAAGACAAAGACCGTGGGCCACTGAATGGCACACACATGCCAGGTTTCAAATGTTTTATTCCTTATCGACAGTCGGAAGTTCTAAAAGCAAACTAGGAGAAGCAGCCGTGCAGCACGTACCTGGCCGAACACCGAAAGGCAAACAAAGATGCCAAAAAAGCCCTCTTTACGTTTTCACCCCACACAGTTTTTTACAAGCGCAGATCAGTTCTGATCAGCTCCGGGAAGGCCTCACGGAGCCGGGTCCGGGCT